TAGTCCCGTGTGCGACAAGCCTTCAAGGTCCTCATCTAGGACCTTGACACACATCTAGATCCCTGATCTAGAGCCTGAATTAGAGACCAGGTGTTTGGAGACCACAGGCCACTTTCACACCTTCAGTGTTGAACTCATGGGGTTCTGTAGCCAGGGGCATTGACCAACATCAAAAAGACTTTAAAAAGGCAGTCCCTTCCTGGCAAGGTACTCCCTGATTTCAGGAACAAAGCATCAATGGAACCAATCCAGCAAAAGGGTTCTCATTGTCCAGGCCTTCTTGTTATGTAACCAAAAAGATAGCAGCTGGTGTTCATCTTTTCCCTTCAAGGCTGGGGGTTAGCAGCTTTATAGATAAGGGCAATCTTGATCATAAACCCAACTGCATTTGCACAAAACAGCAGTTAGCCTCTCCCTTCCTGCCTTAAATCCTGATACCTACTTCTCTTCCTTACTAATAAATGTCCTCTGGGACATTTTCTTCCAGAATAGGGTACTTTGCATTAAAAACCTGTTCAGACAGATATCCTTTCTCCTCAGTGATTTTCTCAATGGTGTTTGGGAACTCGTCTGCTGCCTCTTGGTCAGCAAAAGCTGCTTCTCCTGTTACCTTGCTATTTGTAAAGCCAAACCTCTTTCTAAAATTATCAAACCATCCTTTGCTGGCATTCAATTCTCTAGTTTTAGATCCTTCACCTTCCTTTTGCTCTAAGTCGTTGCATAATGATTTCACCTTTTCTTTTCTCAAATCATCTTTGAGTCTACAGGCATGCCTTTCTTACAGCAATCCTGCACCCACATAAAAGCTGCATTTCCAATATGAGATAAAAGGGTATTTTGCAAAAAGTGCAAGGTTTCTGTGCCTGCTGGCATAGCTGTAGCAATGGCTTTGTGAATTTCCTTTTCTTTTTTTTTTTACAGTGTTCCTTACGCTGGATTCATTTATCCTGAGATGGTGTGCACTGCAGCTTCAGACCTTAATCTATGGTACACATCAAGCAATTCAGCTTTTGCTTGTGGTGTCATGATTTTTCTCTGCTTCTTGGGAGCAATCCCAGCATCACTAGTGGCACTTCAATGGGTCCCACAGTGTTACTCAAGGGTTAGGATACTGCACTAAACATGATGAAAAATATGCAAGAACTGTGAGAGATCACTTTTTACTACAATCTGCAATTTACTGCAGAGACAAACTGCTCACGGGGAGATGATAAGTGTCACACATTTGAAGCGGGTGCTCACAACACCTGAGCTCACCGCACTAGCAACAGGAGGTGGCTAGGAAATTATTATGGTAGTATATAGCATGTGCTATAGTTAATTTTATGCAGTTACCATTTAATACTGCATCTTCACACTTGTTTACATTTCTCTCCACTGTAAATGGTGCCACATATAGTCTGTTCGGTATTTGTGTGTGTAAGTTTTGGTAAATTTTAACTTTTTATAATAGATTTATGTGTATTTTATGGTAGTAACTGATACAACAGACTGGTACCTACATATATTTTATGCATTCGTGACATGCTTAACGTTTTCTTAATTTTTTTTTTTTATTTCTAGGCTACAGGGTTTGTCTGTGGACTTTTTCAAATTGTTGCAAATCTCCAAAAAATTTTTCAATACATATACTGAAAAAATCCATGATAAGAGAATCCACAGAATTCAAACCTATGTTGTTCAAGGGTCAACTGTAGCATGATTTACCCCAAGTTCTATACTATCCAATCTGTAATACCTTGAGAATAAACATGATTACAGGTTTTTAATTTTTCCACCAATTTTAGAAAAGCAAAAAATAAATACCTACAAGTCTATGAGAAATTTTGCCTCTTAAACTTTGGGAGATGTTGGAAAGAAACGCCCACTTTCACCTCTTCCCCGTTTTACTGTGTGCTATTTTCTATTGTGAACATGTCCTCCAGGATGTTCTGTGATACATAGTTAGTGTCTCTTCCTCTATGCATGGGGCTTTTGGGTGTTTTTCTTGCCCACAGAAATGGCAAAATCATTCCCAAGCTGCCCACTGGCCACAGGATGCTAATGTCCAGGACACCTTTCTACTGGAATTATTCTAATCTAACTAACTAGACTAACTAATTTACTGGAATTATTCAGAGGCCAAAATTTAACACAAGTAGAGACTTATGTTTTACACTGATATAAAGAGTAGAATTCAGTACCCCTCAATAAATAAAACAAAGATTCAAAGTAATGTAACAGAAACAGTTACATCAAAAATCAAAACATTAAATTTCTAAAATACATTAGCAAGTAGATAACATAGTCAAGAAAGAAATCAACTAGGTGCCATAGGAATTTTTTTAAAGCCATTTTGAAAATACAAGGTCCAAGACACATTTGAATTTGTGCGTGTGTGTATGTTTACATTGTTAAGCTGGGTTTGGTTACTGGGAGATGAGTGATTATATATTTATTCCTTATCTATTCATTGAGTTCATCATGGGAGTCTGAAAATCCAATTTTTTAAAATTTATTGTAAAGTCCCAAGACTCACTGGGGAAGAAGCTATGATTTACATAATCTTAAAACTAAAGGGAAAACATATGGTGCCATGTCAGAGTAGGGCCAAGAGAGCAAAACACCGTGCAGGCTGGGCAGCTGCCCTTGGTCCAAGGAGGAGAAATAGAAAATGTCGGGTCTGGATTTTGCTTCTGAACCAAGGAACCACCCACTATAATGATTGTCACTCCCTGGCCATCAGATTGACCAGTCCTTCATCCTTGGTCCAGGGGGCAGGAGTGAGTGCCAGGGCAGTCTCTCTAATAGGATCCCCAGGGGGCAGGAGAGGCTTAAGAAGAAGCACCACAGACACATGGGGAGACTTGCCCCTCCTGCCCCAGCCTGCTAGGATGGTCACCCAGCATTATGGCTTTACCTGCCTACCTTTCACAACAGCACTGGTGAAGGGAGAAGATTTACTCTTTTAGTTAATGAAAAACCAAGGAAGCAAAAATGACACAACTTATTGTCACACAGAAATTGGCAGGATGAAAATAAAAACTCAGTGAGTTTGAGTTATTGCTGGACCCACTTAATGAGCATACTTGTAAAACAAACTTCAAGAGCCTCTCTGCTTCACCCCTCAGACTGAAAGTTTCTGTTCAGACTGTAAGTCAGAAGCACCAGCAGTATTTGTGATGACAAAACTGACCACTGATATGAGCAAATCATCACAAAGTTCTGAAGGGATGGGAATGGAAGTTTTATGTGATGTAAAGGCCACAAATTACACATGTAAATGTTACTGTGTATTTGTGAATATTTAACATTATTTAGACACCACACAGCACTTTTCAGAAGACTCTCCCTGACACCAACTGTTCCAGTTCATGAATAAAAACCCATGTCTTGAGGTCCAGACCAAGAAAAGGGGGTGGGGGAGAGGCTTGTGAGTGTGACGAATGAGGCTGAGTGTGAAAAAAACCTCCCTCTGATTCCTGCTTCACTTTCACGTGAGTGTGAGAAAAATCAGCCAAGACCAGTGACCACAGCTCTGTCATCGCCCATAGTTAAAGGGAAGGAAACGGAGTGATTAGGGGATAAGTCAAGGGGACATGACAGGATTTATTATCCAGTGCTTCCTTCCCCTTAAAACTATTAGTGAGTCCACAACGCAATCTTTCTGAGTTCTTTGGTCTGGCTGTGTTTGTAAACCAGCTCCACTGCACCCAAGTATCACTGCGGACTCTGTAACATAGCTCAGTGTCTGGCAGTGTGCATCCTAAAGGTCATTTCCCAGATGGACTTCCCTTTCAGAAGGGAAAGAGAAGGCATAAAACCATCTTATGAATGTTTTCCTCTCTTGCCACTCAACACCTGTACGCTGACTTGGTTTGAAACCACAGACTATATACAAGCTGAAGGCTCCGAGACGGATGGCCAGACCTCGCTCCTCTCTTGATTTCTGCTACCCCCTCCCAACTGGCCTATTGGTTCTAGCCTCAGCTGCTAGCGTGATCCCCTTAAACTCTGGACCTGATTATGTCACTTGTACATTCGAACCATTTCAGAGGTTTCCCGCCATCCCAGAACGAAATCCAAATTCCCCAGTTGCACACCAGATCCTTATGACCCAGAACTCTCCTACTTCTTTAATTTTACAGAAGCTCCCCAGACAACCCCACCCCAAATTGTACCTAGCGGTTCAGCCATTCTTCTCCACCTCTGTTCCAAAACTCTCTGTCCTTGTCCCACACCCAACAGTGTTTGCATCTACTCTTCTCCTGGCTTAGGCAGCTCCCACCCTCGCCCCTCATCTGCCCATTTCCATAGGTCCTCTGAGGTCTGGTTCTGGGGTCCTGCCCTCCATGGAGCCTCCCCAACTTCCCTCTCCACCACCTCACATTCCCACCACCTCCACAACAAACCACACTGTTGTCTAATTAGTTCTATGCTTCTCCCTGAACTTGTGAACTCTGACAAGTTAAGAAGCTCTCCAAAATGTGCTCGCTGGGGGAATGAACTTGAGCAAAGGCAAGGAGGTGGACTTAAGACGCATTCCTGGGTGTGGAAGTGACGAGAATGAAGCCCGATTTTAGGAAAGGGACACTGGGAGTGCAGTCGGTGCCAGGCAGGACGAAGTGAAGGATGGAAGAACAGGAGGCGGGCAGCTCTGAGAGGAGCAGGCTGTAGGTGACCACGGTCCTGCTGGAGCTGCTGAGAGCAGGAGTGGAGAGGTGGGAGCAGTGGTGAGGCTCCTGGTCTGGATCGCACATCTGCGAACACTCTGGAAACGCTCCCAGTAGCAGCAGTTGTCGGCCAACACAGGCAAGTGAGGAAGGAGAACACCCCAGGCCCACGGATTCCCCGCCTGCACCTCCACTTTTCTCTCCACCCAGGAAGGCGGCAGATCCCAGGAAGCCATGGGTGAATGCCCACAAGATGAATTCTGCCTCAAAAGCCATTCTGTTCTCCATTTGTTACCATGTGCCCAAAATGTGAGAAGACGGAGCTATGCAGGGAGGGGAGGCTCCTACCTGAGTTCCATCCCTAAGTCTACGGCTCCCGCTCGGAAGACACGTCACCTTCTGCGCCACTGCTAGCGCTGCGGTCTTCTTTTCGGGGGGCATTTCTCTCTTTGCTTGACTCAGAAGGTCCCTTGGCTCTGGTCTTTTCTTTCCTCTGCTGCTGTTTTTCAAGCTTTGACAGCTGATTATAAAAAGTAAAAAGACTTGTTTTACAAAGGTAAACATGTGCCTGTATATCCAAAACACCGATTACTTCACACGCAGCAACCACTGAACACGCTTCTGTCTGATAACCCGGTGGTGCCTCAGGGTTTCAGTTGTGCCAAACGGGCTGCGAAATGTCTGTCAGTCAGGCACCTGAATTGTTAACACACATTAGTCACACGTGGGACCTCTCCGGACTTTCCCCACCCATAACTCATCTTGCCATGTGCTCTTTGAAAATGGTCAACAGGCTTCATTGATGGCTGAGAAGAGCCCAAAAGTGAGAAAGCTTTTATTCTGTTTTTTTTTTTCCTCTGACGTCTCTAAAGCCTTTTTTAACCAAGTCGTCTTCCCACTTACTGTTTTCTAAAGAGTGATCAACACACTCCTCTATTTGCTGAAGGTAAGAGAGAAGGCTCTGAAGAAAGGACATTAAGCAATTTTAGACATCGTCTCAGCTCTGTTTGTTGAGACTGAACGTACCCACAGCCAAACCCTAAGTGCTCCTAGTAGGCCGCATGGTGGCTACACAGGGACGCTGGCCCCGGGAGCCCTCTCAGACCTCCTCTGGGCCAGCTGGGGGACATGCCTCTGGCATCCGACTCCAGAGGAACCTGGGTCCACTTTCCCCTGGATAGTCTCCCCAACTTGTTCAAGGAAACCACAGACTAGACAGTCGAAAGAAACATCATCTGACACTCTGAGCAACAGCAAGGACACTCCAGAAAAGCCTGCTGAGAAACTTGTCAGAGCACACTGGCCAAGTCTGGGCCCGCAGGATTTTCTTAGACCAAAAAAGCCATCTGTTAACGAGAGACAGCAACACCCAATTTCATCTGCCTCCCAGATCAGGACTGCAAACATTTTATAGTTTACATGGAAAGAGGGAAACTTAATGAAGAGCTGGCTTCTCCCAGTCACTGTCCCACATCCAAGCACACAAAGAAAACACTATTAACTAACCTGCCATGTCATCTCTTGATTATAGACAGACTTTGAATTGAATCTTAAGATAGATCAACAATCAGCAGCTCTCAATTTGGTCCAGAAAACCAAATGTATTAATGGTTGACTTATAATATCTTTCCCACTCCCCATTTACCTGAAAAGCTATAGTAAACAATGAGGTTAGTTAACATGCTAATTAGACTTTGTGAATGAAGACATCGCTTCACCTTTGACCCATCAACTCTCCTCCCAAATAACTCCCCTGGACAAATTCCCATTCGTGTGCATAGGAAAGGCTCACAGGAATGAGCACTGCACTATTGTTTGTATCAGCAAAAAACCCAGAAACCAAATGTCCACTGACAGAAGGATAGATAAATGTGAATGTGGGATATAGTCAAATAAAGCAATACTGTAAAGCAGATCTACATATATCAAAATAGATCATGTTATGTGAACCAAATTAAGTTTCAAAAGGCTATATGCAGGATTCCATTTACACAAAACAACACTATACACTGATAACAGGCTTATGCTGATACAGTATGACTAGGAGAATACAAACCAACTTCAGCACAGTAGTTAAGTTTGAGGAGACACAGAAGAGAATGGGATCATAGTGGAATGAATATATATGGGCTTCCACCATACTGTCAACTTTTACTTTTATAAAAACACAACCAGATACAGAACAGGGCTGCTGACCAGTGCAAGTATGTGAACTGCTTGCTACTGGCACTTGGACCACTAACAATAAAATGCTTGCACCAGGATGTAAACCAACACATAGCTTCCTTCATCAACAAACTCTTGTGAAAATAGCAACTACTGAACTGTGTGCTTGGTGGCATTTTTCTCTGTACTATTCTGCCACAGATAAGAGAGGAATTTCTTGCATCTAAGACGACAGCCTTCCATCCTCATTCCCCTTTTGGTGTTAAAATGCTCCTTTTCTTTATGAAATGAGGAGGATAGTAGATGGGGGGTCCTTCTGTCTTGTTCTTTTTTTTTTTTTTTTCCAAAAATAATCTTGGATTGCACAATGTGAATGTACTTAACATTACTGAACTGCACACTTAAAATTAGCTAGGATTGGTAAATTTCATGTGTATTTTACTACAATTTAAAAAAACTTTTTATTGAGCTATATATAATCATCATATAGGAGTTTCAGGTGTACACATGATTTGATATTTGTATATATTGCAAACTGATCACCGTAAGTCTAGCTAACAGCCATCACTAAAGAAATTTGTTAATGATCTTAGAAAACACAGAGTTGGCACTCCATGCTGGACACCCCCCCATTTCTTTTTTATTTTTTATATTCCTAGTTCATGAAATCCAAACATCTGGAAATCAATGTTCTGCAGTGAACTGTATAAGCCGCCTTCGGCTGCCAGCAGCTCACATTTACATCAGTGTCTGTGTCTGTGTTTACGTGTGTATCTACAGACAAATTACACACACACACATAAAATCATGAACATGTTCCAAGTTAGGCACTAAGAAAGCATGATCTTTATTTTAAAAAGAAACCCTCTCCATTTTGTGTCCCCTCTTTAGAGGTAAATATAGAAAATGTTGAGTACCACCACTGAGTTAGCCAAACCAAGCCTCCCCCCACTGCTAAGATTCAATCTCATTGCAAAGGCCTGTTTGTCAATCGACCTGTTCTTTACTTTCTACTCTTAAATGCTGGTGAGAAGCCAGACCCTGGGAGGGTGACAGGGAATAATTCCCAATTAAAGCAGACTTCTCAGAGGTTTCTCCAGTGCCCACAGTGCCCATCTGATTCTGCACTGACTCGGAGGTGCCACCAACAGAGTGTGAAACTGTGCAAACATCGATTTGAACTTTCACCCCAACCCTGTCCCCTCCCACCACGGACACTTGTAAATCACGTGTGATAATTATTGAAGTGACAGGCATAGCCCGAGTTTCTGTGAACGATGTAATGCTGATTCTCTTATGTTATTTATCTTAATACAACCCCAACCACATATGGTTCCATGCCTCTAAGTTCTCTGTGAGAACATTGTGAACTAACCCAATAAATTTAAGCCTTTTCTCAGAAAACTTGGAATCCAAGGCAGCCAAAACTTGGAATTTACATCTCAAAGCAAGAAAGCAGTTGGATTTTTTTTTTAAAAGGAAACAAATGAGAAAGAAAGAAAAAGAAGAAAAGAAATTGGTAATGCATATGGAATCATGTAGGATGTCAACAGCTTTCAAATTAACAGGGAGATGCATGTCAAGGAGAATGTAAACAACTACAGTCCTGTGAACACATGATCTACAAACACTGAAATGGAGTACTTTTGGTTTGTTCTTTGTTTGTTTTTTAATTAACTGATGAGGATGTCCATAATGCAAAGGAAACACTGTCCAAGCCGTACAGGCTCTAGTACCACAGGAAGAAATCCAACCTTCCAAAGGCAGCTCTGGGCACATAGATGCGGCCAGGGGCCGGTAACCGTTCTATGGCCAGCCTGTACTTTTCGTGGTGGATCCTGGAAAGTTCTGAGGGGGCTAAGGCAGGGGGGATGGGAATATCTAGACCCCCAAACTCCCCAACTCATGATTAAATCCAGAGCAAATAAAGGATTTTCCTTGTCATAAAGAGGTCCATGCTTGAACAGCATAATGTAAGAATAAACCAGTTGCACATGCGTACTACTGCACGGCTTGCAAACCTAAACGCCTTAAAGGGCTAGACAGGTAGCAAACTGACGGAAGTAACGAAGTACCAGACAACAGGGACCGCAACCACACTGGAGAGGACAAGTCCCACCTAAGGACAGTCACGTTTCTTCTTCAGCATCTGACAGATGTCATGTCAATGGGACAGATATGGGCCCCCTGCTGGGGCCTTCCACTTTGCACTCCCCCCACACCCCCGTGTGATCCCGTTGGCTCTGAACAAGCCAGTGACAGCTGTATTATCATCAGCATCCCACACGGAAACCACTGCCAGCTGCCGGCACCACAGGTACAGTCATCTTCCCAGCTTCTCCCTCCCTCTCTGCTGACCCGAGCCACTTGCTACTTCTGAAGTGGCCCTGTCTGGCCCTGCTATCACATGCGCCTGCGATGGAAATCACAGCCGACAGGACCTGAGGGGATTCAGGGGGCTACAGAGCAAGGTTTCCCTCCCTGATAAACACAGGTTTATCAGCCAGCCTTGTTCCCAGCTAATTAAGGCTGAGTTATTGTTGTGTTGGAGCCTTCCGACTTCCTCAATCATCGAGGTAGAAATGTACAGGCAGCTTGCTGCTAAACCACCAAGGAGCTGGACCCATGTCAAAACCAGTTTCTCTTTAATTTGGCAAACAGAGATGGCCTCGAGGTCCCTACGTATCTTCTAGCAATAAAGACGAGGGCAAAGAAGTGCTGTATACTACAGGCAGAGTGGCAGTGCCAGTACCCAGCTTCCACTGCTTTAAAATGGGGATTACAGGGGCGTCTGGGTGGCTCAGTTGGTTAAGTGTCTAAATCTTAATCTCGGCTCAGGTCACAATCTCAGGGTCGTGAGACTGAGCCCCACATCGGGATCTGCACTGAGCATGGAGCCTGATTAAGATGGTCTCTCTCTCTCTCCCTCTCCCGCCACCATTCACACTCCTCTCTCTCCCTCTCTCAAAAAAAAAGGGGGGGGGGAGAATTAAAATATTACCCTTCATACATGCCAAGTGCTTAGAATAGGGCCTGGCTCGTATAAGTGGAGATCACCAACGATATACCTGGTAGACAGTCAGCAAGGGGTTGGCTGGGCTTGCCTCTGTATCCCTGGCACCTAGAACAGGGCATGACTTATAGCTGGGGCTCAATATACATCTTCAATGAAGTTCATCAATTAAGCAAAAGAGAGTGTGTGGCTCCCTGAAAACAATGTGGAGTTTGGTGTCTACAGGTCTAGAGTTTGGTCCCATGCCAGCCACTTGCACGCTGTGAAACTGTATGCAAGTTACATGACCTACTGAACATCCATGTTCTCATTTAGTTCAGCGGGTATTTTATGAGATATTTTGCTTTTAGCTGCAAGAGCTATAAACCTACCTGAGTATGGCTTAAACAGGAAGGAGCTGGAGGACCTCCCCTCCAGGACAGTGGATTCCTCCAGCTCAGCCCTGCCACAGCTCCCCAGAGGCCTCTGTGTACCTCCAGACATCCCCTCCTCATTCTGAGAGCCACCATTCCAAAACTCCCCAAAGCAACAAGGGCCTAGAGTTAGCATTCTAATGTCCCCAGCACTTGTCCTCAGGGAAAGACCCTGTGTGGCCTGTCAACAGCAGCTGGATAGGCAGACCGGGATGAGAGAGGAGTCTGGCCCTAGGCCCATCCACTGGCACAAGGCTAACACAGAGCGGGGAACAGTTCAGCTGCCAGCATCGAGAGAATGCAGGCAGGACAGGGACACTCAAGGCTCAGCCACAGAGCAGGGGGACCAAAGCAAGCAGTCAGCACCAGAGCATCACAGTAAGGAACAGAGTGGCCAGGGTGTGGTGGGTCTTAAGAGGGGAGGTCGGGAAGGAACTGGCAGAGGTAGGTCAGGGAGGGCCAATGGAAGCCAGGGCTGAGGGTGGGGTGGGAGTCAATGTCCTGTAGGAGGGCCGAGAAGGCATGCAAATTGCAGAGACCAGCATCATCCTGTGTATTCATTCTTCACGGCCAGACACATGGAGGTGGAGAGCACAGGCAGTGCGGACCGCCTGAGCAGAAAAGGCCGGGCAGATCACAGAAGACAAGGAGAGGCTGCAGAGCAAGAGGCCAAGGTGAAGGCGGGTGCACCATCAGCAGCAACTGAAGTGTCACCATTTGCGAATGGCAGGTGAGTCGACGCACTGCTGGTGCTAACTATGGCCAGAGACTTGGGGGACAGACCAGATGGGGCAAAGCAGCACAGCAGGCAGGGGTGCTGGTGGTGTGGGGGAGCCCCGGGAACACATTTTCCCCGAGCTCGCCATTAATTCAGACAACCACAGTATCGTGATTGGTACAGGATGGTGCACACTGAACGCTGCATGAGTGAGTGCACTGATGAGCGAGCGGGCCCTGTTCTGTTTGAAGAGGGACAGCCTCAGAGGGAGGGGAGACTTGAACTGTTGTCACGTCAGCTGTGTGCCCGCACAGCTCTTTACCAGCTCTTGGGGGAGGCAACCACATGCGATCCACCCAGCCGAGTGACGCCGAGTGTCAGCCCTATGGGTGAGTCCTGGTTTCCAGGGTGGGCACAGCTGTCTCATAGGCAGACAGCAGCTCCTGGGCAGGCCATTCAATCCTCCATGCCTCCGTCTGCCCTTCTGTAAATGCTACCCCATCCCCCACCCGGTCTGCCAGCCCAGGGCCCGAGTGGGGACAGAGTGTGGCACGGGCATGGGCGCTGGCGAGGGGAGAGCACCAAACAAACAGGGAATCGTTCTTACCTGCCCTGTCCTTTCACCCACAAAACAGCACTTCACAGGGCTCCTCGAAGGCTAATCACTGCACCCTGTGCAATGCTCCAGTGTGACAATGACATAAAACACCCCGTGAGTCACTTCAGCCTTTGGTGGACGCTAATGAGCTGCCAGGAGCATCCTGACAAGAGAGCTTGAGCGTGGGGCGCTGTGTGTACGGTCAGACTCCAGGCTCCCCTGGACTCCGCCCACTCCAGGAAAAGCTCGGGCAGGGTGGAAGGGTGTTAAGCAGAGCTGGCAGAGCTGACCCGTGTCTGCCGCTGCTGTCCCTTCTGCCTGCCTCTCTGGGGAACCCTGGAGACTGCCGGGCCACTAGGTGCTGGGTGCAGGTTTGAAGGGGCCCTAGAAAACCGACTTCCTTGCCAGTCATTTCAGAGTAAAACAGGTGCCCAGGAATTCCTGATGGAAGGATCAGTCTTAGAGTGAGATGGTGTCTTAAACTTGCTTCCAACGTGGTCTGGGGGAATGATGGCAAAAAACTACAGCTTTTTGTCGATGTCCTCATAAGTTCCCATACGTCTCATAAAAACCATGTCAAGGTCTTCCTCTTTCTCCTTTTTTTTTTCATTTTTTTAAGATTATTTACTTATTTATTTAAGAGAGAGAGAAAGAGAGCACGAGCAAGGGGGAGGAACAGAAGGAGAGGGAGAAGCAGACTCCCCACTGAGATGGGAGACAGACACAGGACTTGATCCCAGGAACCAGAGATCATGACCTGAGCCAAAGGCAGATGCTTAACCACCTGAGCCACCCAGGTGCCCCCTTCTTTCTCCTTTTTGAGCCTACAGTTGACAGAAGCAGTACCTCCTTCCTCAAAGGAACCACAGACATAACCTGAAATTTTAATTTCAGCTCTTTAAAGTCTTTTTTCACACTCAGGAAATAAATAACCTCTTAGATTATAGTAAGTTTGACACCTTTAGCATTCCAAGAAGTCAAGGGCAGACATTATGATTCCCAGATTGCTTTTGAGAACTACGGAGGTGAAGTCAGTTGAAAGGGAGCACACCCAAGACCACATCCAGGCACCAGCCAGGCTGGGAAAAGCACCAGGTCTCCCGGACTCCTAGCCAAGACTCCAGTCGACCTGCCTCCTTTTGGAGCAAATGCTCACTGGGACAGGAGCTCCTGGGGTGAGCCACAGGTCCAGGGCAGCAAACCTGGCCTCTATTCCTGCTAGGGCAATGTTGGGCCTACCCCCAACGACCCCATCTTTGAGTTATTTTAGTGCTGATTATTTCCTGCCAGGCTGTTCTGTCCCGCATATGAACAAAATCTAATTAGAGAGTGAAGAAAATAACAAAAGAAAAACTCAAGCTCCACGAAGTCAGTTACTATGATTTTTATAGACCATAGTAGAGATGGAAAAGTTCTGTTCCAACTAACCCCTTGCAAAGATTCCAAGAAAGTCTTATGGTGCAAGTCATAAAGATCAAATGTCTCCTCTGCAATTACTTTTTAAAAATACCATGA